AACCTAGATTTTAAAGTTCTATTGCCTTGTTCAATATTATTGTTTAAAGAAATACTGCATAATATCCTGTCAATAAAGAAGTTCTTTTGTTACTCTCCTACACAATAAATATCAAATATATTATTGCTGAAACTATTCAACTCAGATAATCAAAACTTTCACAAACACCAAGGAAATTAAGTAAACTCGAGAGGATTCCAATTTGTGATTCAAAAAGCGCGCTACATGTAATGAATTTACGTGCGCCACAAATATGCAAATATTGATGCATCTAAGGAAATTAATGAAATATCTTGGAGTAATGTCATCGTAACAAGCTATACATTACATGAGAAGTGAAATATTAAGCGACAGATCATTATTGTCATTTGAAGTAATATCTCTTCACCATTGTTATTCCATATCGTTTATCTTACCTTTCTTCCTATCATTAACCATTTTTCCTACTGTCATCATTACATTTTTAGTTAGTGAGTTTGATCAGGAAAAGGATACCCTCAAAGGAAAGAGCAAAGATCAAGAGTTAAGGAAAACGGGGAATACTTTAGCTGAACAGGTTGTTTCGGAATTTCACATATTTCTATAGATTTTGGCTTAACGATTCTGTTGGTAATGTTGCTCTTACATAGAGCATTATGCTTTTTTGGTTTACCATATTTGTTGAAAAAATCTGTTCATTAACAATGAATAGCAATGAAATTAGCAATTAGCAATGAAATAGTATGAATAGCAGGAAATACTGGGGAAATAGTTCCAAAGTTTTTGTTCTGTTTTAACACACGCAGTCCTACACTTTAGCATTTTTGGTAAGAAGTTTCAAACAATTCTGAAGATGTGAGTTTAGAATTATTACACTTGAAGAAAATTCATGCTGTTAAATTCCTTATTTATCACGATATTTCAATAATTCAACAAGTGATTGACATCGAAATTAGTCAATTATTAAAACATTGATTTATTTTTGGTTTCTTGTTTCAATCCATGTGTTATTGATTAGCATAGGTACAACAAACTATGACGAAGCAGTGGATGACTTTAATGTCGATAAGTTATGCCGCAATGACGATAACTTCTGCCGCAACTTGTACCCTACCTTAGATATATTTTTATCATTGATTCAGATCACAAACTATTTAATAACTTGATATGAAACAAAACGCCAAGCAAAGCTTTGCATAATTTTTAAGGTTTAAAGTCTGTACAATGATACAAAGGCATTTGGAGAAAATGAAACAATTATCCATAATAATAGTAGTAATAGGGAGGATAACCGTAGGAATAAGGAGAGTAACCGAAGTATGGATAATAATAACCATATGGAGAAGAATATGGGGAGCCTCTACCATAAGCTGACTCCAGTAATGAAGCCAATAAAAAAGTTGCAAGCAAATCTGAGCTAGGAAAAGCTTGAGGAGCTTGAGGAGCTTGAGCAGGTTGTTCAGTTTGATTACTTCTCTGACCAACACCAAAAACCAGCTGTCCTGCGTTACCATTGTCGAACACATTCTTAAAATTTAAAAAAAAAAAAAACTAGAGAAAGTTGATGCTTAAATGAACACTAACGCTTAATACCTTAATGTAATATTGACACTTTATGATTTGAAACTAATAAGAAGCATGAAACTTACGTTGCCTCCTATTCTCATGTTGTCAGTTAAAGTAACAGGATTAAATGCCACCGCCTGTGCATCCGTTTCAGTAACTGATAATACTACACTGAAAGTGAAAGAATACATTAGCAGATATGTATACTTAATGAATAATACAATAACAGCAAACACTTTAGCTTACATTATCGTTAAAGCAACCAAATATTTGATGATAACGAGTGACAGCATAATAAGGAATCCAAATACCTGCAACATGATCAGCAGTGTACAGTTGTACATTACAATATTGCTCGCATCTTGACTGGGTTCCAGTTGAAGGAAATATTTGTAGATGTCGGAAGATGAGTCTGCTTGTGAGTAAACCTGGAGGGCTATTTCTGTCAAGATTACAAATGATCACAAGTCATTAGATTAGATGTT